ATATAGGTATTGTTTAGAATAAGTATATCATTAAGTAAGTTAATGAATATAATATTATTTTCATTATTTTTATTATAAAATTTTATATTTTTACATAATTTAATAATAGACTAATAGATGTTTAATTTTTACTAAGATAATTTTTATTTTTATTTATATAAAATTAATAACCATCAATTTATAAATCTTTTTATAAATCCTTATTCTTTTTCTTTATTATTTTTAAATCCTAATTTTTTAATTCTAGTTTTTAATTTCTAATCCTTATTCTTTTTTCTCATTCCTTATTTTATTCACTATTTATTTATTATATTACATTAAAGTTTATTATTATTTTCTATTATTTTATTATTTCTTCATTTATTCCTAACTTTTCTTTGTATCTTTTCACTAACGTTTTTTAATTACAAATTCTAATTTCTATTAATTTTCTATTTTTCTATTTCTTTTTCATATTTTCTTTCTTAATCATTATCTTTAAGATTATTATGTATTTCATTATATATATCATTACGTGTTCTTATAATATCATTATTTTCTATTTATTTTTTTTTTAGAAATTTCTTTAACTTTACAATCATTACTTTATTCCTTCTATTCTTTCAATTCTCATAATAATTTCTTCTTTTTCTTTCATGTTCAAGTATATTATTTTTTCATTAATTTTCTTTTTAGTAATATAGATTATACAAGTATTCTATGATCTCAATTCATTAGTTTCTTTCATTTGAATCTTTATATAATATTTATACATATTTATTAGTTTTCTTTTTTTTATTCTTTTTCATCTAAGAGATTTTTAATTATTTTTTTCTTTAACGACTTTAGTATTTATAATTCTGAATCTTGTAGTTTAATCTATATTATATTTTGGTTATTGTATTTCCTTCTAGTTATTATATAACATTCTGATTATTATATTATTCCTTAGTTATTATATAATATTTAAGTTTTCATATCATATTTTGGCTATTATAATACATTTCAGTTATTGTACTTTCTTTCAGTTAAGTCATATAATCTATATTACTTTCAAGTTATGTTATATTTTATATGATTGTATTTTTATCAGTTATATCAGATTATTTGTATTTCATTAAACTATTCTAGTTAGTTATTTACTTCTTATTATATGATTTCTGATTAGTTATTTTTTCTTTATGACCCTTTATTCTATCAGTTGTTTCTTAATCTCTTATTATTATAACTTCTCTAATTTTGTCTATTTTGTTGTAAGGATCATATGTTATATCATTTTGTGGTTTCTTGACTCTATAATGTATATATAAAAGATAAAGATTTATTATATGCTGTATGTATATATGAAAGTTGTAGAAATAGTAAAAAGCATTATCTATGTCTATAACTTCATCCTATATCTAATGTATTTGAAGTTATACTAATTACACAAAGATGATTTCCATCTTCAGTATTTTTACATTATTCTCTTAGTAGAAATCTAAATGCAAATAAATATATAGAATATCATGTTTTAGTAGGAGATATAGAATTTTTAAAAATATGTGTGCATTAAAATCAAACTCTTGAATATTTAAAGTATTTTTAATTAATCCAAAAAATTATAATATTAATGAAACTTCTTATAGCTTACTTAGAATTATATGCTGCTGTTAATTAGCTTAAATAATATAATAAATATTTAAAATTATTTACCAGATTATTTTTAACATAATCCCTTCTTATAGGAATATATTTAAACATATTTTCTAAAGTAACTCATTTACCTTTTAATATAAATACTTCATCTTTTAAGAAGGAGAAATTGTTTTATCATCAACAAATTTTTAAACAAAAATTTATAATGAAGATTTTCATTATACCTATTTAATAGTTAGCTTTATACAAATATCAATAATAATATTACTACTTTTTTTTTGATAATTTAGATCTTGAACTATTATTTTTCAGATTTATTTCCTGATAGAAATAGTCACTTTTTTGATTAAAATACAATTACTTTTAAAGATGATTCAATAAAAATAAAAAGATATAGAAAATATATAAAATATCATCTATTATGTGTTGATTCACAATTTAATTTTATTCTTACTGATCATACTACTTATATTTAAGATTAAAAAAGCTATAAAATTATCAAAATATAATGTATCTTTAGCATTAAAAGGAATTAGATAAAATATATCATTTACTAACAACTTTAGAATTTATTACATGTAATATATATTCAGAAAAATACATGATTGATGAAATAAAAACAATTACATTACCATCATTTATATGAATAGGAAATACATATTTTAATGAAAAACTTTACATGTAAATATTATGATGAAAAAAATACAAATTACCATCACTTTTTATTATCTTAATTGCAGTAGAATCTAAATAAACTCACTTAAAAGATATATTAAAATCAACAGACAATAAAAATACAATACTAACAAATAAACCATTAGATATAGCTCTTTATTTTATATATTGCAAAAAAGAAATTTAAAATCATGTTTATAAAAAACCTGCAAATAGCAATTGGAATTATCTTAATCATTTTTTTTTTAAATATTTAGAATTTCAAAATAGAGAAGTATCACATATATATTCAATACTTTGGGTTAAAAAAAGTATAACAGAAATAAAAGTAGAAAATCTAATTAGATCTAATTTACCAGATCTATACTTTGAATTAGAACTTTACCAATTAGTATTAACATATCAGATTCATACATATAATCTTAGAAAGTATAGTGGACTAATACCTCTAGATTAAACATATAAAAAACTTTTCTTGACTATATTTTCTAATTATTTATTATAATATTAAAGAATTTAGATATATATATTAATATATAACTGAAAAAAATAAATGGGTAATTCCTTATCATCCACCTACACTTTTATTATAGAATATTCATATGAATATACAATATGTGAGTACTAAAAATCTTAGTAAATATTTAACCAAATATGTTATCAAATTAGAACTTTCATATGTATCAGAAGGTAATAAGTATCATGAGTATATAATTGTTTAATGATTAAGCTTAATAGAATATATATTAGTAAAATAATATGTAAATCATCAGTAAAAGTAAAATATATATCTACAGATCTACTAATAACCTATTCACGTATAATAAAATCAATATCAATAATATTAGAAGATGATGATAATCTATATTGAAAAGACACAATTGAAAAATACTTTACATGTCTATATAATAAATAATTTAATAATATACTTATTTTGATTACTTTAAAAATTATATTTTACTTAATAACTAAAATACCTTCAAATAATGAAATTTATAAGATGACTTAAATTATTATGTTATCAAAAGAACATCTCTATTAATTATATATTACAAATAACTTAAAATTCAAAATGGAGAATTATATTTTTATCAACAATTACTTCTTACAATATCTTGTAGATTAGAAAATGAATTATTTAGTAATTTTATATTTTATCGAGAAAAATATTTAAATTTACATTCAGATTTTCAAAATTTAATTTAAAATTCTATAAATATAATAGTAAAAAAAAATAGATATTTATTACAAAATTAATTCAATATAACTAATATATTAAAAAACCTTAAAGACAAAATCATTTTACAAATATCAAAAATTCTTATTAAACAATTAGATAATTTAAAATTAATACTATCAACTTTTTTGTTAAATGTAATATTAAACTTATCAGAAAAATAATATATTATATATAATACAATTATATCTATTTTTGAACCAATATTACAATCTAAAAAATATTTATTTTTCTTTATTACAGGATCTGATAGAACTGGAAAATCATATTTAACAAAACTAATTATTGATTGAATAAAATCAGAAATAAAAACTTATCTTTAATAGTACCAACAGGAATGGTTGTACAAAATATTAAAGGATTTATTATTCATTTTGTATTTAGATAATACAAATAGAATTATTGGCTTTTCATGATCTTAAAGTTAATAAAAATTACAAAAAATTCAAATATTAATTATAGATAAAATATCAATGGTTTCTGCTTTATTATTTAATTTATTTCTAATTTATTTACCAGATTTTACAATTTTGATATAGTATTTAGAGGTATCAGTATAATAATTGCAAATGATTTAATATAACTTCCTCTAATAAAAAGTGAAGCTATATTTTATTCACAATTGTTTTATTCTTTATTTTTATACAAATTTTAAAGATATAATAAAGATAATAAATTTTATAAAATGTTGAAAAAAATTAGATTTGAAAATATATCAAATACTACTTAGACAAACTTATTGAAAAAGCAACAAATTATAATAATAATCAATCTTCAGATTCATTATTAATAATAATATATATTATTGAATATTGTGTGAAATATCAAAACAAATTAACAATATAATTTGCAATTTATTTCTAATTAATAAAATATATTTACTAGCAGAAGCTATAGATTTTATAGAAGGTAAACAAATATCACCAAAACTTGTTCAAATAGAATTTAAAACAAAAACAAATATGCCACTAACAGTTAAACTTCAACAAGGTGATGTGTTATGTATCTAAATAACTTATTAATAAAAGAAGGTATATGTAATAGAACTATTGGTGTAATCACTAATATAGATAAACAACAGCTAAGTGTATAAATAGCATTTTGTATACATAGTGCTATTATTCAAAGATTGATTACAAAAGAAACATTCTACTTTTATTCAGGAGATCAATATGCATCAAGAACACAGTTTTTATTACAAACCTCATTTTCTTTAACAGTTCATAAAATACAGGGTCTTACCTTACATTCCATTTTAATAGATCTTAGCCAACTATTTACATCTGATCAAACATATCATGCAATTAGCAGATGTTTAAAATGGCAGCATGTTCAAACAATAAATTTAGATAAAGAATATTCTCATCTAAAACAAAAAGCATCTCAACCACTTCCAATTTAAAAAAATATCATAATCTATACATATGCAATATATATTCCAGCAAATTTGTAGATCGTTTTCATTATAAAAATGGTAAATATATTTGATATTTCCGTTAAAAACATTTTTAAAAGTCTCATCCTTGATTCTTTCATGAAGGATGAGTTTATACAAAAACGTTTAAGTCCTAAAGGTTTCTTTAGTAGAAATAAGTATTGGTTAGCAGGTTTAGCAGATACTGCGCTAGTTGCTGGAGTTGCTTTAGGTCCATTTCCGTTTACTGGGTTCGTAGCAGCGTTAGGATTTGGTGAAGCTAGTATTGTTGCTGGATCTATAGTGTCATGGATGATGTCATTACAAGTTGGGGCTGTCGCTGCAGGTAGCACCGTGTATATTTTACTATCAGTTGGTGCAGCTGGTTTAGGTATTGGAGGATTTTTTGCTACTAGTGCTGGAGGTGCTTATTTTGGTGCTGCAATTGCTAAAGTGATACTAATGATATCAGAATCAAATTTCGAAGAATTTGCAGAAATGGAAAATTTTATTTTCATTTATGAAAGTGATGTCAATGAAAATGATGAAGAAAAAAATAATTTGCATAAAAAAATGATTTTTAACATGAAGCAACCACTTCTCGATAGTAATGAGAATGAAAAATTAAAATCCTTTCTTAAAGGGTTTGACTTGGCTCGGCAAGTTTTCCAAGACAGAGCAAAGAAATTCGAATTTTTAGTTGATAGAGAAGAGGAAAAGTGTCTTGAAGGACCAAGTTTTTTACATAAACATTTAATCGATACTTACAGAGATAATTGTGTTACTTTGGAAAAGAATAGTATTTTGTTAAAGTTGAATAATCCTTTGTAGTTAGTTTCATTATTATTTATTTATTTATTTTAAGAGATTTATATTTTTTAGTTTAACTATTGGAAATTTTCAGAAAAAAAAAATTATAGATAAGAGCACAAATGAAACTGGATGTTCTTTTTTTCATCTCAAATTTGTATTTATATTTGTATTTGTATTTGTTTTTCTAGCTATATTAGGAATGTAAAAAAAATCTATTATTACCCCCCTTCCAAATATACTATCCCCCCCAAAAAACATGATAATTATATTAATTTTTCCATTGACAATGAGGGTATTTCTAGCGAAATATACAGTATATCTACCCACGTATACTATAGAGACGCTTTAATTAAATATTATACACTTTTAACAAGGCATCAACTTGGTAAATTTTTTTCATCAAATATTTTCTCAATTTGATATCCTATAAGAATAAAGAAATTTAAATGATTTCAGTTCAGAAGGAAGTAGGATTTTAAATTACTTTCATCAATTTGCATAGTACAAATTTTTTATCCTTTAATAATTTTTAAGGAGTTAGGTTTAATAATCGTGTAGAAAAATTTATTGATATAATAATTAAAAACCTTTTTAAATTGCAGAGCAAACAAAATATTATCTATGTTAAGTAATAATCTTTTAGGTTTGTCCAGAAATTGATTTTTATAATTTTTTTTTTAACGTGAATATTTGCATGTCGTTGAGCATTTCTGATAGTAAAATTTTATAGTTCCTTTTCAAGTGAAAAAAAATACTTTAGAAATATATAAATTTATTAGCATAAAAGAATCACACATTTATTTTTTTCAATGCGCAGTAATATTACTATTGTTTTCGAAATTTATTAGTTTTACAATTATATTTAAAAGTGTAAACACGTCGTTGCAATATGATTTTATACTTTTTGAATAATAAAACATAATGATTGATTTTATTTTCGATAAGGAGTCATAAAGCTTTTATCTAAGATAAGTTTGGATCTGATTAAACAATGCACAGCCATCTCGCGAGATGCAATAAAGGACCATAATCAGGACAAATCCAACCCACAAATCAGAATACCTCAGCAAGATGTAATTGACTTTACCTGACCATCGGGTTTTTCAATTGATCCGCCCTGACCGGAACTGAAATTTTGAGAAAATGTTCTATCTTGAAAAATATCATCTAGACTATTTATTGAAAGAATTAAATCAAAAATTTTAATTACTGTTTACATCCCAATGCCTAATTTCAAAGTTCAACTATATAGTACGATTGTATCGTATAACTAACCAGATTAGTATAACTCTTCATTAATCCTAAAATAAATAGATATTGACTAAATTAAAATATCTAACAAAACGCAAATCAATAAAATTTACTGGTTTTTAACTTTTAATCAACATAGAATTTCCGATTGATAATTGACGAATTAAAAATATTGCAAAACTACAACATATTTGACACGTGACATTAATCAGAAAATTGTGCGATAAAATAAAAATATTTATTTTTTTTATACTGAATAAATGACTAGTTACATACAGTGTAATATAAGTACTATATTAAATATTTAAAATTAACGCAAATATTAAACACTTTACCAAAGGAGTGATATGAAAAGGGAGTAGAGTCGGGTGGAGTTGATGAGTAGAGTATATCACGTGCTATGATGTTAAGTATATTTTTTAATACTAACCTAACCCTTACCTAATACTAATATAACCATAACTCCTAACAATTCTGTATGATACTCAACATCATAACACGTGATATACTCTACTCATCACTCCACTCGACTCTACTCCTTTCATAATCATATGGGTCGATTTGACTCATATCACTAATTAAATTTTAGTGATAAATGTGAATTTTGATGACTGCCAATCAAAATAACAATAAATATAGTGATAATATTAGATAACGCATATGACAATTTCGTAATTAAACTAATTGTCAGTAGCTTAGCACACTTTCAAAACTGGTTTTCGCAACTTTCAAACCTGTTGGAAATTGGTTTGGAATTGGTTTTTTTGGAATTGTTTTTTCTTAATTCCAATAGGTAGCATGTTTAAAGGTTATAAAATTTAATTAGCAAAACAATTTTTGTTTTTAAAATAAAAAATGGCTGAAACTGCAACTATTCCTATTGTGTTAGAGCGCGAAAGTAATGTACTTTCTAATATATTTTTTTTAATGATATTAATACATAGAAAAATTCTAATAAAAACTTTTTATTAATAGACACTTTTTCCAGTTGTGTTTTTATACATGATTATCCAAATAATTCAAAAATTAAAGCACATTATTGGTCAAATGGATGATTATATTGTTTATATTACAATGTTATTTCTTTAGGAACTTATCCTTCTACACCAAAATTAACTTAAAAATCTAAAAACAATTCACGTTAATATCCAATACCCAATAATTATGTGGTTGAAACAGAGATTTCTGGATGGAATCTTAAATGTGAAACTAAATATATT